CCTTTTTCAATGTAGTAAATGTATTTGTAAAATGGTGTCCCTTGTTTTAAAAAGTGACGCGTTCCATACCATGCATGTTACTAATGCTTAAGGTAGTACAAAATATTACATTTACACCTTCCAAAATATGAAAGTCGATACAGTAAGCGTTCGTTAAAATTAACTGAATTAAGTTAGTGTGCTGACCTTTTTATTTGGGGAACACGTGGAAAGAACACGTTGAATTAAACTCTTTCTATTTTTTATATTACAAATTTCCAAAATGTTTGGCAGGGCAGGGGGGGTTTGGTAGGCCTGATGTAGTTTTACGCTTGTTACTACGTTATAGTTTCAATTCCGAATTTCCAAACCTCTGATAAGGTAAAGGCTGTTGCTAGCCTAGTGGTTAGCATCTCGAACTTCGGTGCTTGATGCAAAAGGGCGTGTTCGATTCCCGACATTCTCACTAACATTTCATAGGTTTGGACCGCTTTACCTGATACGCGTCAGTTTGCTCTAGATTTTTCTTACAAAATGCGACTGCGGTAACATAAAATAACATCTTTTTAAAATTCCAAAGTGGCCAAGCCGGCCTCGTTTGTGTGTGTGTGCGTGTGTTGGCGCGTGCGAGTGAGAGCACGGCGTGGTGTTGAGTAGCCGGCGGCCATAAAATGATAATGTATTTATTACCACCAGATTCTCTACCACGGTGGCCGCCGCTGCCATTTATTCACATTGCTACTGACTGACCGATTCACCGTTACTATTTTCTTTTCTTTTCGTGGGCCTTCTCCTTTTCCTTTTTTGGTTGGTTTCCCACGTTATGTTTTCCAAAATATACTTTTTCCAGATGTACATTCTTCGTTGATTAGTCTTCAGTAATCAAGAGTAATAAATGATTACAAGAGAGTCATGTACTAATTTGCTTTATGAGAAAAAATAACATCATAAAACACCACACATAACATAAAGTCATCCTTACTAATACCTGGTACACTTTTTGGAAAAGCGATTTAAAAAGGGTTTCGTTTGGGTATGTAACTTAAATGTAACTATACATACAAAAGGCTGCAAAAGAGACTCTTTTAATTCATCTTCAATAAAGCTCAGTTTTCAGACACTCTGTGGTACATTACGCTTAACACATTAATTTACCAGGCTCGCTGTATGTTGTACTATTCCTAAAAATCATTATCAGTTCCACTATTCTTCAGAATTATTGTATACTTTATAATTTCGCAATCATGCAATGTGATATTCATTACATATTATATTCATTATATTCTTCAACATCCGTTCCCTTTCCTACATTCCTCAGTGACCATTATTTGTTCCGTCATTATTCAGTGTTCTTGGCCGTTAACACCCTTCAGGGTATATTGTATATTCCACTATTCTTCTGTGTCCATTGTCTGTTCCACTATTCGTCAGTGTATATTGTATGCTCCACTATTCTTTTGTGTCCATTGTCTGTTCCACTATTCTTGTGTCCATTGTCTATTCCATTATTCTTCTGTGTCCATTGTCTGTTCCACTATCCTTCAGCGTATACTATTCTTCTGTGTCCATTGTCTGTTCCATTGTTCTTCTGTGTCCATTGTCTGTTCCACTATTCGTCAGTGTATATTGTATGCTCCACTATTCTTCTGTGTCCATTGTCTGTTCCACTATTCTTCTGTGTATACTATTCTTCTGTGTCCATTGTCTGTTCCATTGTTCTTCTGTGTCCATTGTCTGTTCCACTATTCGTCAGTGTATATTGTATGCTCCACTATTCTTCTGTGTCCATTGTCTGTTCCACTATTCTTCTGTGTATACCATTCTTCTGTGTCCATTGTCTGTTCCATCGTTCTTCTGTGTTCCTTGTCTGTTCCACTATTCGTCAGTGTATATTGTATGCGCCACTATTCTTCTGTGTCATTGTCTGTTCCACTATTCTCCTGTGTCCATTGTCTGTTCCCTTATTCTTCTGTGTCCATTGTCTGTTCCATTGTTCTTCTGTGTCCATTGTCTGTTCCACTATTCGTCAGTGTATATTGTATGCTCCACTATTCTTCAGTGTATATTGTCTGTTCTACTATTCTTCTGTGTCTATTGTCTGTTCCATTGTTCTTCTGTGTCCATTGTCTGTTCCACTATTCGTCAGTGTATATTGTATGCTCCACTATTCTTCAGTGTATATTGTCTGTTCCACTATTCTTCTGTGTCCATTGTCTGTTACACTATTCGTCTGTGTCTGATAACTATAATTGATAACTATAACTGATAACTGTAATTGTCTGATAACTATTCTTCAGTGTCCATTTCCTGTCCCTCCATTCCTCAGTGACCATTATTTGTTCCTCCATTCTTCAGTGTTCTTGTTTGTACCAAAACCAACATTCTTCGTGGTACATTGTTTCAGTGTCTATTGTGCGTTCCACTCTTCCTCAGTGCCTATTTCTGTTGCACCATTCATAACAATCGTTATAATTTCTACAATGGTGTGATGTCACGATTCAGCAATGCAATTTTCTGTTACACTATGTCTAATCTCCTTGTCTTCTCCACTATTCCTAGATGCCTTTGTATGTTTCACTATCCTCTTATTCCCAGACTCCACTCTCAACTCTCCAACACCCACGTCTTAACACTTCTATCGTGCCGCCAACCCCCTCCCCCCCTCCACCCACACATCGCCTGTCTAGACGTTTCCTATTTCAATTATCAGATATCGAGACCAATAAACATGGCATCTTAAGTTTTACAAGGCCATAAAATAGTTTTTACGACTTATCCCACTACGGTCGGCAGAGGTGTTGATTTTTATTGTTGTAAAATTCAATGTTTACGTGTTGCTGCTGCTTGTTGTTATTCCTCGTTTACTTATTTAACTTTAGTTCTTTAAGGGAAAAATTGAGTTGTGTATAGCAAAACAGTAAAGTAAATGTGATATTTGTAATAGTATTTCCTTGTAATAAGATGTTGATATGTACCTCATTTGATAAGTGGGACCAATATTTACACTGTTAACACACGCAATTGATTTGTAAATCTATGTTAAATCCATGTCAATTCAATGCCTTCGTTCGTTTTGAATCGAACAATGTAAACAGGAATAAGTATTACTTATTTGCTCCTCACAATGTTAGCATAGCTTTCATTTACAATATTCTTTTTTGAGTTGTCTTTTAAAATTAGGCCTACACAATGTCTAATCACATTTCAAACATACATATACAACTCAACACATTGTTTCCCGACCAACCAACAATCCCGAAAGTTAATCAGTTGTGCCCTTCATTACACGAAAGCGGAAAGCCCCAACTACCACACACAAGTTGGAATTACTGAACGCCCAGGCCAATCTAAATGCAGTGCACAATCGAACGTCAAATTAACAATGCCGTATGACACGTAGTCAAATAGCGGCTATATTTGCCTTCCTCTATTCCAACCAACAATAGTGTGTTTGATCGAGTGTCCTGGGTGCCTTCTACGCTCATTAACTTTATACTCCACATAGGCTCACACACAAACACATGAGACCGGTCATGTGTAATTTCTGCTGATGAGTTTCCAGTCCTGTGTTATTTCAACCATCCACTTCAGTCTGTTGATTCAGCAAAGTGGCCAGCTGAAGAAAGGTGCGACTGTGTTCACTCGACGATGATTGGTAGGCGTGTTTTTCTTTGGAAATTAATCTCGAATATGATCTAGCTTTTCCATCGGGAAGTTGGTCCGTGTGTTGACCTAATTAATTGGTTTGCGATGGGTAAATTATTGGTAATGTTTTGGACAGGGTTTTAAAGTTAAGAGAAGTGAGACCTATAATTGTAGATGGAGGATCAGTATTCCCTTGGTATTTCCTTATTTTTGTAAAGTACTTAAAATATAACTGGGTCAGAATACACCCAGTCGTGCTTCCTAATTGGTAAAGATAAAACATTTTTTCATCCGAACAACATTTGTAGACGAAATAAACCATTAACTAAATAGTAAGCTTGAAAATAACGTTTAGCACAACATTAAACCAATTGTGTTGAGATAGGAAAAAGTTACACACATGGGGTGGCAGAATATTACATTTATACCTAAATAGCTCTAAGAAATGTCTATTGACTAATCAATTATTTCGCTTTAATCTAGCTTACAGACTGACAGTAAACAAACCAAATGAAACGTTTACAAGTTTACTACATGTGCATGCAAAACAACTACCAACATTTGAATCATTATTTCACATAAAAATATAATAAGAAGCGACGTATTTACAAAAGTCAGTTTGAGCGCTGGAAGGCTCATGTTGTTTTAATCGTTCCATAGCAGTGCAGGGCGCCGCGGGCTGCCCTGATATTGAAGCTGGACGCCCAGGGCGCTGCCGCCCGACACCCCATCTCTCGTCTCTACGCGCCTCGGGCCGTCTCGGATATCTTGTGCAAACACTCGGTCCCTCATCCCTTTAGAACTCCCGGGATAAAATTGCCTTGACTTTCCTTCGGGGCTTTTGACCTTTATACCGTTCGATACTTAGTTTCAAACGATGACGTAGCATGTTGAAATATAGGCTGAGTAAACTATACGTTGGGAGGGGGAGTAGTAAATGGAATGCAAAATATTGTATTTTACAGGGGTTGTCACTGATTAGTTGGTAAAATCATGGACTAACCAACACTAAGGGGGTATGTTTTATTCTATGGGGAAACCAAATCATTACAGTATTTGTAAAAACCAAGAAAGTTGTGACGTGGGTTCACGTTTTTGGGTCGCAACAAAGATAATTGTTAAATGGAAGTGTGTACTTATATTTTAAGATAAAATATACATATAATTTTCTTCGGAAGTAGATATTCATAATCACAGATAAAGGGTACATTAAATTGTCCACGGGAGATGACTGCATCGTTGAAATGCCAAAATACTGGTTGACGTTTCGAACGCATTGTAGCAGTTCATCTTCAGGTCAAGCTACCGTACAATTCAGCTGATTCAATAGTTTCTCATTGACTTGTTCTAATTGTAACTTTTTATATTTGTTCCAGGAGGAAATGTGAGATGAGGGAGGCGGAGGTTCTGGAACCAAAAGACCTCACGGCGAGAGCGATGTTTCCCACCACACAGATCAAAATGAGGTAAAACATGTTTTTGTTATATAAAAGTAAAGTAGCATAGTCATATAAATTGTGGGGGTAAATTATTTATCAAATGCATTGTTGTTCTTTGAGATAGCTATTAATAACATTCAGTTACATATCACTCATTTGGTTTACTAAGTAGTTAAATGTTCAAAGATACAGTATGAGTTTGTATCCTAAACAGTGTTTTTAATCATAACTGATTTTAATGCCCCAAAAAGTGGCTGTTATCCTTAGCCTTTTAACAGCTATTGCTGGTGGATCGTGCTACTAATATCAGTCCCGGTCACGAACACATCTGGTCCGGTAATCCGGTAGCTGTAGGTTCGGTAATGGGGCGTTTACGGTTGTCGGTTCATTCTTGTAGAAACCACTTAACTTGTAGTTGAAATTCGATTTTGTAATCACTGTTGCCTATTGAATTAAAAATTCCATGTGTATTGTGTAGTAACAAAAGTACCACGAAACACTAGCGTATTTTACAGTACCAATTAAAACTAAAAGGGAGTTTCCTATAGACCTAAGTTGAAATCTTGTCCATCTCCAATGTAGCTGGTGGTTCTTAATACAAACAGAACTACCCTCGAGTGAAAAAATATAGCTCTCTTGCAAGAGGTGTCTCAGTTGAAGATCTTATCCACCAAATGCCATACAGTAAAAATAATTATTCTACACCTTGTGTAAATGCAGGAATTAAGTCATAGTTGTGTGTATGTGTAGTTAGGAAAATGTTCAAGACCTGCTGTTAATTCCAAAGCTGTTGGATTTGCTACATTTTCAACGTGAGGCCTGAGCCGTTTAAAGGTTTTGAATTGATACAAATGATTAACTACAAGTTTGTTAGATATTTCCAACCAATAACCTATGCACTTTTTTTTAATCGAACCGGCGAAAAACATTCAGCTATCCACCGATAATGTATTTTGTTAATACAAAGGCATTCCTCCAAGTTATTTTATCCCCCTCACAACTATTTACATTACTAGTATTTTTTATGTGTCTCTTGATAAATTGTTTACTTGACACAGACTGTACTTGTGTACGTGCAAGTATTTAAACGGAATAAGAATGCAATTTGGGAGTAGAATGAACAACTCGAATGATCTGTGCAGATATGTTTCTTATCAGCTGTTTTTTTAGAGCCAGTTATTCAGCCCAATCAACACAGCTGGGTCCGGTTTTAAATCATCCTCGAACTTGGGTTTTATAAATGTTAAGCGAGCGCTATAACCTCTTTAGCTACCCAGTTTTACAAACTACTGGTTCAAACGTTGATATTCAAACAACATTTCCCACAGTTAGCCACACATTTGGCACGTCCCCGTCCCCAGTTTCGCCACCGCTGTCCCGATGTTATCTCACGTTGGGGACAAGTCTAGTGACATTTAACATTCAACTGAATGTTGAGTGAATTAATTGGAGCAGAGAGAGCCATTCGCCGGTTAATAAATATCGACTCGCTTATCGATCTATTTATCGAGACGGGCGAATTAATGAATAATTGACTCGAGACTTACGAACCGACTGAGTACGATCGTGATCGATATATCGCAGTCGGAAGTGATATAAGTTGTCATCTATTGGTCTTATACGATCGTTGATCTATATACAGTATATGCTTTCCTGGCTTAGGTTAGAGTTTTTTTAATGAAGTTACAATAGAAGATTTGAAATATTAAACGGTCCACTTTTTATGATACTCTTTAAATAACTACAGTACTAGACTAGGTATGTTTATTTTACTTATTATGTTCATAGACGGGGAATGGGTTAAAATGACACGTTAAAAATAAATGTAAAAGGGTTGTCATTTTTTTAAGTATCGGTAAACGTAAACTTTGTATGTGTTATCTCCACTAAATGTTTAGGCTTACAGAGTCAAAAGACTTTGTAACATGTTTTGAATTTATATTTCGATATCGTTGGATATGATATTGGTTTATTTTATTAATTGCATGTTAATGTCTAGTACATTTCTGTGCTTATGCTACATTTTGTTCATTTACTCATTTGTAATGCTATTTTGGAAACCGAGTTATTTTGTGTAGATTTTATTATTTACATTAATATGATCAAGTTGTATTATGTACTTACAGTATTGATAGCCAACTGTTTTATAGTGTGGATTGGCATAACGCATAACCCTTTCTTAGGTAATTTAATCTATTTCCATTGCATAAAGTATAATGGCTACTTTTGGTCGTGTATATAAGGTTTATACCATTATACCTTTTTTAAGACTGTTGTTTTGAATAATCGGTGTTAGATAAAAAGTCTGCTAATCGTAGTCAGTTATAATATTTCATTTAATTTTTTAACACTTTACCCTTCACTCGTTTTTGCCATACCCATCCTGATGTGCTGGGGATATGTGTAAATCCAATCGAATCACCTTCTCCATAGTTAATGGAGAACCATGTAATTTTTTGATTAATGTCTATTAACCGTGCATATTAATCTTGCAGAGGCTAATTTTGATATTTATTTCAGCACGTCCCCGGCGACGTCGCCTACCATGTCCAACTCCTCGTCGCCCACCCCTACACCACCGTCACATCCCCCTCTGAACTACAACCACAAGATCACAGGCATCCCCTGTGTGGCGGCGGCGTCGCGGTACACGGCGCCGGTCCATATCGACGTCGGCGGCACCATCTACACTTCATCTCTGGAGACGCTTACCAAGTGAGTTCAACTTTTGTTATATAATCATGTAACTTAGCCTCAACTAACCTAACCTAAATCATATAGCCTGTATCCTCTTAGGGGTCCATAATTATCAATTGAGTTCAATTTTTTTAGCCTAACACAACTTAACTTCAGTCTAACCTAAATACAATTAGCCTACATGATCTTTAGATATTCTTACGAAGTGAGTCAAACCTGTATAGCCTAACCTAACTTATCCTCAACGAACCTAACCTAACCAACAACATGTACATTTTCTTTAGATACGCTTTCCAAAGGAGGAAACTTTTGTTACATAACCTAACTTAGCATCAACGAACCTAACCTATAACATGTAACTTACTTCTTCTTTAGATAGGCTGACCAAGTGATTTACGTTATTAGCGTAACCTAACTTTGCCTCAACGAACCTAACCTACAACATTTAACACATCTTCTATAAAGAGGCTGACCAAGAGATTTAAACGTTTGTAGCGTGACCTAACTTTGCCTCAAATAACCTAATCTACAACAAATTATTTAAATACGTTTGTCAAGTGAGTCAAACAATAGCGTAACCTAAATTAGCTTCAACTAACCTAACCTATAGCATATTTCCTCTCGTTATATTTTTGTAGCCTAATCTAACCTAACTTACAGCCTATAACCATGTCTATTGACTCTGAAGTGAGTTAATTGTTCTATTGAGGCCAAGTAAATTATACTACATCTATATTTCGTTGAACCTATCAATGATCAATCAAAATCGAACCTAGATATTCTAATATCAGATGAAATTAACTTACCTAGTCAAAAATGATCGATTCTAGTGCCTGATTTGTCTAGTTCTATCCCAGCCTCGTCTGGTTTATTGCATCATCTAACCTTACCAATGTTTACCAAATCTTGACCTAAATTCACCCTAAACGATTTTTTTCAAAACAACTCTGACCTTTCCCTAACTAATTAAACCACACCATCCAACCTAAACTATTATGACATATAGGTTCCAAATCCAAACTAGAAAAATTTCCCTGTACGTCTAAAGAACCCCAGTGGTTTAACCAGCCTACCGTAAGACTATTAACAAAAGTACTCGTAATAAAACGAGCTAACAAAGAATTCTATGTAATACTCAACGGGAAAGCACGTAATTTTGTCCGCGCGCTCTTTAAATTTATAAAATACCTCGATGGTTCCGGCGACTCCGAGCTATGGTAATGACGAAGGATGAGTCCTCATTAGCGACAGCAATGGGCCTGATCGTGGACAGGGACTAATCGTTGAGGTTATGTAGGCTGAGGAATCTGCTAGAGGAGTCCTATGCGAACTACCTCGCTTGAATTCTTCATCCTCTTCATCTTTCACTATCTTGCAGCCTAGCTAAATTCCCGCTGAGATGTCTGTGGATATTAAGTTTCTCTTATGTTCTTTATCGTGTTCATTTTCCATTTCGTCGTCAGAGGTTCCCAATCACCCTCAAGCAGAAGCTTGTATCAAATTAATCAGTTGTCTACCAAAATAAATGTAACAAGTTCTCATTGTTTAAAATTAAGTTTGTAAATGAAGGAAATGTAAAGATTTTTCTTTCTGTTAACATACATACCAAGCAATATTCATTTCTAAATACTCCATAAATACATTTTGGATACCCATCGGGCATAGTTCGGGAGGAATCCAATGACATGAATATGCCTTGGATATTGTTGCCAAGATCATAATCTACTTTTTTAGGTTCTTCCAAGTTGGTTTTATAAAATGTGTACATCTACCCGGAATAATTACACCAATAGACCGACATACATAGGCCTAATATTAAAACCACTTCTTAAATAATAGTTTAGATAATAGTTAGCAAGTTAGACTAAATTACCTATAACAGGTTGTACTGCCCTGAAATTAAATTTTCGCAATTATTTACATTGCTATCAGGATTTTTATGTTGAATATCACAAAAAGAGTTACTATTCACCAAACATTTTCAAATAGCGGGAAAAAATAAAAATATGGCTGACGTTGACAGGACCTTCTAGTTTACGAAATTTGTGTTTATTTTTTTCATGACGATGCGTACAAAAGCTTAGCAGTCCTCAGATTTCTGGGAATAAAATCTTTGACCTTCAAGTCAGTAGGTGCCTAAATCCATTCATTATATTGTCAAATTATAGGACTTGTCTCCGAAAAATATTAATGTAAATCCATCAGAAGCATTATAACCGATTGAAGGATTAGACCCAGAAACATGCTAATTCCCCTCACGATTTCATGGAAATCTTTATAAAATTAGTCTCTTAGAAAAATTACCAGTGCCGGATTTAGGGTACTTGTGGCCCTAGGCCAAATTACTTGAGCGGCCCTCCCTCTGTGGTGGAAATTCCTTGCGATCGCGGAAGTAATAGTGAATATCTCCTATGCATCAAGGAGATATCATCATCAACACCCGTGATCGTGGATGAAATCGTGGACATCTTTCTTAAACCAAGTCAAAGCCATCATAGGTATCCGTGACCGCGGCAAAATCGTAAACATCCCCCGTGGGCTGCAACAAAGGGACATCATCCTCAGCACTCGCAACCGCGGCGAAATCGTCATCATATTCTGTGAGCTGTGACCTTGAGGACATCATTACCGTCACCCGCAACCGCAGTAAAATCGTGAACATCTCCCGCGGTCCGCAATCACGGGGACATCATCATCGACACTCGCGACCATGGCAAAATCGTAAACACCACCCGCGAAGCAGCAGTCACGGGGACATCATCATCGACACTTACGAATGCGGCAAAGTCGTATTGAAAACATCTCTTGAAAACTGAGATCATGAGGACATCATCATTGTTACCCGCGGCCGTGCCAAAACGTAAACATCCCACTCGGGATTGACACCTTTAGCCGCGGCGAAATCGTTAACATCTCCCGTGAGCCGCAATCACGGGGACATCATCATCAACGTTTAAAGTTTCTGTATCCATGATTTAAATTTTGTTTTGTTGTATATTGATGTAATTGTTAAAATATATGTGTTATATTTATGATAGGTTAAGTGTAAGAAAGGTCCATGTGGCCCTAACTTTTACAATAAATAATAATAATAAATCTTTATTGTCGTTTAGTAATATAAACATTACAATAGACAAGGTCAACATGTTTTGTTACATATGTTATATAAAATATGAAATATTCTACAGAAAATGTTAAATAAAGTTAAAAGAATCGACACTCGTGACAGCGGCTAATTCTTGAACGTCTCCCGCGGTCTTCGATCATGAGGACACATTACCGTCACCCTCGGCCACGGCTAAATCGTGAAAGTCTCCCGCGGGCCGCAATCACGGGGAAATCATCATTGACAACTCGCGACAGCGGCTAATTCTTGAACGTCTCCCGTAGGCTGCGATCATGAGGACACATCACCGTCACCCGCGGCCCGTGAAAGTTTCCCGCGGGCCGCAATCACGGGGAAATCATCATTGACAACTCGCGACAGCGGCTAATTCTTGAACGTCTCCCGTGGGCTGCGATCATGAGGACACATCACCGTCACCCGCGGCCCGTGAACGTTTCCCGCGGGCTGCAATCACTGGGACATCATCACCGTCACCCGCGGCCACGGCAAAATTGTGATCATCTCCCTCGGTCCGCGGAGACATCATTATGGTCACCTGTGATTGCGGCAAACTAGTGGTTTAAATTAAATAATTTTTTTATGAAAAAAATGTTTTTCTCAATCCTCTGCGGCCCCTTTTTGCTTGCGGCCCTAGGCCGGGGCCTAATCGGCCTAGTGGTAAATCCGGCACTGAAAATTACCTATAACAATATTGGACAACCTATTTCTATTTCGCACGCATGTTGAGAAATGCCGTACATATGATTAACTAGATCATTTAAACTATGGATACAGAAGGCACTCTCAATATTTTCACTTATTGAAAACGTAGAAACTTCTAAATCGTGTCCCAAACCAAACGCAGAAGAGTAATTTTATCTCCACAGCTTAATTCACACACTCCACGACCGGGCCTAATCTACATAATGCACTTCAATAGCCATCCATTTAAAATCATTTATAAATAAAACTGGTGCAGCTTTCGCACACTGTATAATTGGTTATTAGTGTTCCATGCATTTATAATGAGAATGAGGCCTTCGCTAAATCTCACGGCGTAGCTTTTCAACGACAATCACTTTGGCTTATTACTCATTACACCGTTAATATACTGACTTGTATAAGCATCACTAAGTCTTTCCTATCTTCATATCCACAGGACATGTGTAACAATGTGTATGACTGTGTATGATATGTCCAAACCGTTCGATACGTTAAGGCTGTTCGGTCAAAAAATTGATTTCCAAAATTGTATTTTAATTCGATTGGAGACTACATTAGAAATTGAAATGTGTAGTAAGTAAGTGTCGTAACTCAACGCAAACTTATTTTATGCCAAGGCCTTCTTTCTGCCAAAACACTCCATTCTTACGTTTGTATAAAAAAATCGTATTTATTACGTTTCGTATGGATGTAAACAAAATTGTGTCATGGCCATCTGTTTTGATGTAAACAAATGTAAACTCTAAAAGGTTCAGATGATCGACAACAGAATTCAGCACAAACTATGAAGTTTTAATAGCCTATAGAAAGGAGGGCTTTCACTGGATATTATCCGAACCCTCAGAAACTCATCTAGAGGACAAGATCTTTAAGTTGGTACCCGATATGCCTATACAAATAAATATTTAGGTGTAAATTTGCTGCATACAAAAATCCAACAAGTTCTTTTAATAATATAGGTTCCCATTCATTTCATCAAGACGTCTCGGACTCTGATAATACATTATATCTAGGGTGAAGAATAAAGTGAGGTGGCCATTCAGCTTTGTTACTGACTAAGATCAGGTATTTATTTAACTACTGATTTTGTTGACTAGAAATTCCAATCATCGAGATCCTCTGAGTCCAATTTCGAAATCCTCAATTAGTTTCATTAATATCTCAGGGAAACAGACAACTCTGATTCATG